CGACGCCGACCACAACGTCGCTCCAACCTCCTGATGCCAGGGTGGGTGCACAAGGTACACGACGCACTCACAGCCTATGCCCCCCCTCCTCCTCCTCGCCCCCCGAACCCAATTACCACGACACGCCGACCACGCCATAGCACGCCTCGTCATGCGAGTGGCGTGGGAGCGATCGATGTTAATTGTCCCGAATCATTTATAAGTCATGTAACTCGCATAACTTAAACTTCATTGTAACCGTTTTGGCCTGATGAAGAGTTACTGAAAACACGTGTTCGCCAATTTGACTTTTCAATTGCAACATGGGAATATTCGCTGAAAATATAATTGTTTAATGAAATAATGCTTAATGTAACTAGAAGGCCTTAAACTTTAGGAGTTAGATTCGAATTTAAACCAGATGAGGGATTGTTATAGGACTTAGTGACGATGGCAATATGCCAGAAATTGCCTCTCTATTTTTTCTAATCCTTCTTGATGAAACTGCTGCCTACATGACAGATCGTTACCCGGACTGTATCGGACACTTCGTGATAGACGGAGCGCTTGGTGTGTAGAAGTCCATCGATTTTGGCTTCATATTTGCACAAACTAATTTCCATATTCGGTATAGAGGAGCCGATCGACCCATCATGTGATCGTTATTATACGCCTGACTGGAAATCCCAAGCTCTGGCCGAAACTCCTCCAATAATGCAATCGGGATATTTCTGCCTGAACACAATAAGCAGGCCATAAATGGTCGTTCCTATCCTCTCCCTGCTCACCGGTCTACACGACTGCGTAAGGTGAATCCTGTTACCTTCGAATACAAGGTGATATGATCATCTATCGTCCAGTCATACTGGCGAGACACCCTTCCACCATTAAATAAATTTCCTGATTGCCGCCAGCAAGGTCTTAAGCAATAAATGCAATGGCAGAACGGATGTTGAATGACAAAAACTGTAGATTTTAGCCCCAAGTCATCCAATTCGTGCTTTCGAATCTTTCTAACTGACAACGGCCAATTCGTATTGCATCAACCCTTATTTGTGATGTTGCTTTGACCAATCAAAGTTTTATATCGTCGTTTTGGAAAATGAATATTAGGTATTTGAACGGGGTTTCAACCCTTTTGTTGTGACGGACTGAAACATCTTCTCTTCCTGAAAGGTGTTATGAAAGCTCACCTCCGTTTGGCAATGCGAGCAATTGGTAACAATAGGGTGTACCACCCCCAATTAACTTGAGCTAGCCTGTGGGCCGTGTCATACGTTGAAGGGTGGTAGAGGGGCTTTTACGGGGGGGGTGAGGCAGAAGACAGGTCGAAGAGCAAGAAGACACAGACAAGAGATAAATTTCTGCCGAAAGTCTTACCGTACGCTGTCATTTGGCGAAGAAAGTGGGGGCATAATTTTAAAAAACGAAGGGCAGTTCTCAGAAAATGATGGCCCTTAAAAAAGCGCCGCTGGAACGTTTACATTTAGTCAGGAGGAGAATGAAATTTCAAACAATGGGAAGCGTGAACAATAGGTGATTTTTACAATCATTTTAGGGTATATTTTTTTAGTCGTCTACGTGTGAGTCCTACACCCTTCCTTTACGGAATAATTCTCCCATTTTGTACAATATACGCCGGAAGTATGATAGAAGACTGCGCCATAGCTTATTTATTGCAAGGCGCACATCGGTTCAGGGTCTTTTCAAAGCCAATAACTTACCCAAATTGTCCTAACAAGCTAAATGAGTTTACAAAGGGACAAGCTTACTTCTTTCACATTTGTGTCGTTACTCTTCTGCATCCGAACTTTTTACGCTCTCTTAAAAAAGCATTTTTTGAATCCGGGTGGTACTAATTCGGCCTCTTCTGATAGCAACTTTGTGCCAACTGCACGAGTACCGTAAAAATTAATCCTTGTAGTCGATATAATTTTGCAAATTCAAGCCATATTACTGAAAGACCAGGAGCACCTTCGTGCAAATCAGCAAAATGACTTCGCGCGTATTTACTCCGAGTACGCGTGTCTGAACAGGAAGGTTAAAGTGCATACGCGTCAACAGACTTAATTATTTGTATATTTATATGTTAAGCAAAAGCGGTCGGCGGTTATCAACTCAAAAGAGGAAAGGATTAAAAGAACTGCGCAAAACCGGCAGCATTCAGTTCACATAAGTTTATGTACATTGTGCCTTAGGGGCTCTCTCTCTCTCTCGAGCCCAACTACCATTGTATGTTCCCGATCGCAACCGGCAGGACGACGTGCCCGTGGCCCAGTGGTTAGAGGCGTTGGGTTTCTAACTAACAGGTCGCGACTTCGAGCCTCGTGTGTTCCACACTTCGGGGTTGGGTATGACTGGCTGACGACGGCTAATAAACCAGAAGTGGCCATTCCAGTCTCCCTTGTTTTTGTCGGTAATAACATTCTACCTATGTAATGCCTCGTTGTGCGGCTGCTGGTTCAGCTCGAGAGAGAGCCCTTAAGGCACAACGGAACTAGTGAGTTCCGTATGAACGATCGGTGAGCGCCCCTCTACCACCAATTATAATCCTTTAGTCCTACCCATAACTCTGATCCAATCCTAAACCTAAACTCCCGGTACTACGGAGGGCTTTGTATTCCTGTCCCCTACACAAATTCCACCGCCCAGCCTTGAAATCATTGACTAACCGAGAATGCGGCAACCCTCTTCCTTTTATTTTGCTTGTGTGTTTGCCGTGACTGAGGGTCGCTCCCAGCATTATTTCTTCTAACTTGCGGGAAGGTTAATTACTATTGGAGTAAAAATTACTACAACTCCCTGAGGGCGTCGTTCACTGGGGATATGATTTTTTTCATCAACTTTCTTTTGCGTCGTTTGTTTAGGCATTTTTCACACTGGAAGTCGACAGAACCTGTCTTGCTGTTAATCGCGGTCTGCACCTGCGCGCCGATAAAGCAACTCCACATAACACCACTCATGCATGACGGGTGGTTTCCTGTTAATGCTATTTATTGCAGTGCTATTTTTTGCTCAGACTTGCTATGTAAAAGCCGCCGCCGCCCCTATACGATTTAAGAGTATTACTCGCATTGATCACATAATAAACTCGGAAGTTCCATTTGGTTTGGGGGATAATAGACTGATTTAATTTCTGTTAAATGTCCCGAATTATTTTGCTTGGCCTCAGTAAACCAAGCGAGTCCTCATTGACGTTCTCTTTGAATGTTCTTCTACGCACACGATTCTTTTGAACGTGAACCATAATTATTGAAACGCCCATGAGTGTCGAATGCGGGCGATTTGGTTGTCTTGACGTCAAATAAACATGTAGCACCAACAACACCCGGACTGAATTCGTGACCATCCTGTCTGCTTGTGCTTCGACATTTGTTCGCAATATTACTCTGAACAGTTTCATACTAAACATTTAACATCAATTTCACAAGCAAGTGTTTTAAGGGGTCTAACTGACATATGGCATTTGCTTTATAAGAACCTAACACGCGGAAATTGGTAAACAAGGTTAAACGTACAGTTGGTGGGCTCTTCCATGAAATGTCAACCGAATTCCGAAATTCGTTTCTGTTTTAACAAGATTGATGAAGTATGGTTGTAAAATTTATCAAGCTGCAGAATAATTCTTTAATAATTCAGTTACCTCAGGATGCTGGCTTTCGAACGAACTTCTTTTCGGATGCATGCAAATACTATACTCTGTAAAAAATGGCTATACAATTGGTATGCATTTTTCTCATTGATTTTCGGTGCCCTTAAAAACTCAATTATATTTCATAAAAACATGCACAAAAATATTCATTCTTTTGTTCATTTGGTACAAAATTACGTCCTCTTCAAATGTTACGTTCGAAAGAAGGATATAATTCAGCCTTCAAAAAGTTTTTAGTTGTGAGATTTTTTTAATGCCGTGAAACGGCTGTTCATGAAACGTCATATATGTGCATTTACCAATGTGGCTTGTAAAGTCAACAATTTGGCACAAATTCACTGCTAAATTTTATGAACCCTATATGGTCCCCCTTTAATACCGTAGAGAACTGTATGGTTTTCCGTACGCGGCAATTATACGGCTTGTAGATTGGGAACCCTGAATGCAAGTGTAACGGCAGTTTGGGTTCAAAATTATTCAGGAATTGGAAACGTTTTCGAAAACCAAATTACACCCTTCTTTTAAATGAAAAATTGGAAGAAGACGTGAATTTCTACCGAATGAGCAAGAGAATGAATATTTGTATGCATGTTTTCTATTAAATATAATTGAATTTTTAGGAACATCGAAAATCAACGAGAAAAATGCATGCTAATTATGTAGTCATTTTTACAAAGCATAGGTTTTGCATGCAGCCGAAAAGACGTTCGTTCGAAAGCCAGCATCCAGCATAATGACAAATTCTACAGCCCTACTGAATTAATGTTTTTGAAACGGAAACGCATTTCGTAAGTTCGGTTGACATTTCATGAGTTATCTACTCTAAATGCTTTTGTGATATTATGAGTCAACCCCAATGCGCCAAGCTTTATGTGATTGAAACAAAGATGCGCTTCGTGCAAAGGCTAATACGGAAGCCGGGGGACAGGATGACGGCTATTTACATGCACGTAAGTTTAACTTCTGGCACTGGTAGTCAATATTCCAATGTAACATTTTGCAGGACTATCGAAGCTATATCCACTCATAATTCCTTGCTAGTAAATACTCATTCCCTGTTGCTCTTACTGGTCGGTAGACGCTAAAACACCAGGAGAATACCCATCAACATATCTGAGAAATAAAAATGAATAGACTGCCATCATCGCCTAACAGAGAACACAAACGCAAAGATCAGAGAAGAAGTCAGAAACACGCGGAAAAATGAAAAAGTTACTTTGTCAGCAGAATATTCAGCAGTTCGAACGGCGTACAACGCTGTGGGCGACTGCGTTGCGCGCATATATGCGCATATATATAGGAAGCATGCAAAAGGATAGTCAAATCTCTACGTATGTGGAATGCCACAACCGCATTTCATACGACTCCGTCAAGACATCAACTCTTCATCCTGCTTTACTATAACAAGATAGTAGACCCAATAGAAGGTGTTGTAAATTATGAAGCAGAGCGGAAACAGTACACGACTGTACTTATCAAGTTTGCAATCCATAACTTCAATCATTTTTGCTTTTTGCGTTATCTCTCGCCTATGTGTGCAGTCAGCCACCGTCTGTTGCAGTACCGGGTCCAGATCCCCAAAGAAGGTCATTCTGCGGTTAAGAGCGAACCCATTGGGCAGCCCAGTCCCCGTTCCCATGTCCAGGCTTGCGAGTTCTGCCCGCTGTAAAGCGGCGCACCACAGTGCCAACTCCTCCTTCACAATCTTCTCCACATCCCGACGCCAATTCTCCCGTCTCTTGTGTCGCAGTAGGGTGATCGCGAAGGCGTACTCCACCAGTACGCCTATGACGAATGCAATTGCAAAGATGAGCCAGATGTCTATGGCCTTAATGTAAGACACCCGGGGAAGATTGGCTGTCACGGAGGCCGCCTGTGTCAGCAAGCCCAGAAGACTCATCAGTCCCAGGGGTACACGGGCTGGCGCGGCGTCTACACTCACGTAGAAGCTTAGCCAGGAGACAATGATGACGAGGATGTTTGGAATGTAGGTGTTCACCAGATACGAACTGATCTGTCGTTTGAGCATGAAACGTGCCAGTAGACAGGAGTAGTTGCCGGTTGAGGTTGACGCCCCAGCTGAGCAGTCGAGAAGGGTGAAATTGGTGGGAGTGTTGAACTCCGGCACCTCCATCTTTTTTGGCAATTCTACAGGCAGCGTTTCTCTCCAAACAAACTTTAATTCGTCAAGCGTGTAGCCGTAACTGCCAATATTCATGTGACAGTACTGGGTGTCCATAGGGAATGTGTGCAGATCCATCTCACAGGAGAAACGCATGGTGATTTTCTGACTGTAGAGCAAATCACCGTTTGGGTAGAGGCGTAGCAAGTCATTAGGAAGAGTTATTTTATGCAGGTAGCCATCTTTGCCATTTCGAAAGAACAGGTCAGGTAGCCATAACTGCGATTTAAGCATTGGGGAGACCAGGGGTTGAGTGAAGTTTTTGTAATCGGGCAGATGATTCCATCTGAGACGGGGATCTGTCCAGGTCTGTCTGAGAAGCGTGTCCATATAATAGTCCATTGTCTGCACTTCAATGGAGAAGATGGCTTGTATTTGTAGGTTCACCTTGACAATTGTTACTGTGTCAAGCTGCTCTGTTGGTCGCTCGTGGGTTTTGTAATTCATAAAAAGCATTTCAATCAACCTTTCCCGTTGAGTTGCGCCTTTTCCCAACTTCCCTGGCGTGAACTTTTCATCGTCCCTACCACGAACTGTTCCCGGCTCCTCCGGTTTCTCCCAACCGGCAACAACGGGCTTTTCTTGTTCAGGTTCCTGTGGTGTCGGAATCCTCGCCGGATAAAACCCGAATTCAATATTTCCATTGGTAATTGAGGCGCTGCGTTCGGCAACTAACAGTATTAAGAACAAAGGCGTCGCGTCGTTAAACGTGACCATATCGTAAGACGAATGACACAACCTCGTATAGGCATGCACACACGATAAAGCAATCATATCAGCTGTGCTCATTGGTCACCATAAGAGGGATAACGAACTGACCAATCAGGGGACAGGGATGTTGCACGACAGGTAGGCATTTCTTCGGCTAAATTCGCTTCTGACCCTGGAAAACAGCCGATCTGAACGAGCGTCCAATTATAAATAGGCTGAGGTCGGCATCGTTTGCAACCGGAGGAAAATTCACAGTTGACATGAATTTCATTTTTATAAGAAACCTGGCTGACCTAAGCGATTTAGCAAACGGTATTCAAATATTTTTCGTCAATACTTAGGTATTCAAGTGAGATATTGATGAGGGCAAGAGGGTTTATGGCTAGAATATTCACGCTTTCAAAACTACAATCTTGACCGAAATCACTTTTAAACGGAGCGGTCTAATGGCGAATAAAGCGTTTGATTTTTATGTTTGGCAGTTGGCTCGCACAGCACAGCCTAACGAAAACATCAGCACGCACAGCTAAGCTATTGAGTAGTAAACTTCATTTTGCTTAAAGAATAGTCGGATTCCTTTATTACTACAAAAGATACAATGGGATAAGTAAGACGAGATCATATGCACTTAGTTTTCAGAGTCCCGTAATGTTTCAGATCTATTTACAAACAAAAGAGGTAGGTTACTCCAGTTTATCATAGTAAAAAAAGTCGAACACAACTTGAAACTCATTTCTAATAGCTGGATTTCAGCATTTAGGTGGAAATACTTCCTGCTTTGTTAAACGGCATGTCGCTCATCAGTGTTTTTCACTCCGAGTAGGGATACGTTGACACGTTATTGCCAGGGTGGGCATATTTTCATTTGTGTACGTGTATATTTTTTAAAGTGTTTCTTGAGTGCTGATTCTTGCAAATTCCCTATACTAACTCTGGAAAAATTTAGACTTGTAGTTCGATGTGGAATAGCATTCGATTATTCTTCAAATGAAAGATTGTCACGCGATTATCAGAACATAAAATAGTGCATAACGTGAATTTCGAGGAAGGGCATAACGCTGTATGGTTAATGTTGAGGTCACAATAAAAAAGGCAAATTATGTTTAAAGTAAACTAGATATTAGTAAACATTTACGGTCGCAGTTGTCGGGAAGGGGACATGCAAAGCAAATGTATTGGTAAGGGTATTTAAACTACGATACGCTGTGCATAAGCACGAAACACCAGATAAAAAAATTACGCTGCAAAACAGAGGTTTAACCTCAAGGATCTTATTTTTGCAATCATCTTGAGTGACTGCCAGTGTCAAAAAATAACATTCACCTGCGCATGCATTTCCTGCCACATCTCACATAACAGGTATATTGGGGCGCTTGCTTTTATAAAACTCATACTTAACAATTCGCTAACTACATGAGTCTTGACGCACTCCGTCGCGGGCTTGACAAGGACCAGAATCCTACATGAAGAATCTTACAAAAAAACCAGCTAACTCATCATATGCTAGGTGGCAAGGGTCGGTTGCGCTGTCTTGGTCCGAAGTGTAAGCGCAATGAACGGCAAACCTAACCGTACTCTCAAAAGTAAACCTAATCCTTGACGTAATTATAAGCCTAACTCTAACTCTAAACCTAACACTAAGCCTAACGTTAAACTGGCAGTTTGCGAGACCAAGCCCCGGGTTTTGCACACTTCGGGGTTCGGTATAACTGGCTAACGACGACTAATAAGCCATAAATGGCCATTCCAGTCTCTCTTGTCTTTGTCGGTAATGCCATTCTGCCTATATCATGCTCCGCTGTGCGGCTGCTGGTTGAACTCGAGAGAGAGCCCATAAGGCACAACGGAACGAGTGAGTTCCGTAAGAACGATCGGTGAGCGCCCCCTAACATTGTATATTCCCGATCGAAAACCGACAGGGCAACGGGCTCGTGACCCTGTAGATAGAGGCGCGGACTTCTAAACCAACAGGTCGCGAGCCCGAGGCTCGAGTGTTCCACACTTCGGGCTTGGGTATGGCTGGCTGACGACGGCTAATAAGCCAGAAATGGCCATTCCAGTCTCCCTTGTCTTTGTCGGTAATGTTATTCTGCCTATGTATCGTGCGCCGCTGTGCGGCTGCTGGTTGGGCTCGAGAGAGAGCCCGTAAGACACAACGGGACAAGTGAGTTCCGTAGAAACGATCGGTGAGCGCCCCTGTACCATCATATATTTATTGCCGTTGTCGAATAACCAAAGAATAACACAACTCTCCTTTCCGACTTATGCCTAGTCGTCAACAGGCCACGAGCCAATGCCAAGCCAAGAAGGCTCAAGGTCAGAACATGGGCGATTTGCATATTGGTAGCTATGTGACACCTTTTGAAGTGTGTTTGCCCCAATCATAAACGACACATTATCAACTGGTATTTTTTCAAAGTGTGTGTGGCAGTCCGCTCCCACGATCGCCCGTCACCCCTCTGTTTGCCCTTTGCTGCCTGTTACTAGAGAACCGCTTATTACTGCTAGGTGCCGTCATGGCGAGAGCTCGAGGCAAACTGACATCTCGTCCATCGCTTATTGGCTCCGAACGGACAAATCACAGGTCTGTGCGTCGGGGCTCATCAACCGCAAGGACACATGAGTAGGCCGGAAGTGACGCGACTTCCTGCCATGTCGCTTCTAAGCTCTCCAGCTCATGTACAGTGAGTGACCGATCTCATGAAATGTTGGCTGAAATTCTGAGATGTGTTTTCGATTTGGAAGGATTGCCTAGGTGGGGTTGTAATATTGATTATCTCGTGGCCTAATGCTATCATATTTCGGACTCACCAGGATGTTGTCTTTCAAATGCACTCCTTTTTGATCTCCTGCAGAAACCACACGGTTAAATATTTCTTCTTAAGTAGCATGCATTTTTGCATTGATTTTCGACGGTCATGTAAATTTAAATATGTGTTGCAGAAGTGAAGACAATATGCTTTCTTCTACCCATTTAGTAGCAAATCATGTCGACTACATTTTATGCTTGAAGACGGGGTATGTTTAGGTTTCGTAAAAGTTTTCCAATTCCAGAATAATTTTAAGCCTGATCAGCCGTTGCATTAGCGTTTAGCGATTTCAGTCTACGGGACGCATGCTTTCTGCGTATGGAAAATCATTTATGCTTCTATGCCTTTAAGAAGAAACAATTTAGAGTTCACGAAATTTTACAATGGGTGCGGACTATGTTATTCATTTCATGAGGAGCATTTGTAAACAGATAGGTACGATGCTGTATGAAAGGACATTGCACAGTCTTAAAAATCGCATAATTAATAACTTTTTTTAAACCTAAACATACCCCGTCTTCAAACATAAAATGTAAAGTCGACATGATTGGCTACTAAATGGGTAGAAAAAAAGCATATTGTTCTTATCATTTCTGCAAAACATTTAAATTTATATGACCATCGAAAATCAATGCGAAAAATGCATGCTACGTAAGTAGTAATATTCAACCGACTGTGGATGCTGCAGGAGGTCGACAAGGGGGGCATTGGAAAGACAGCATCCTGGCGAGTCCGAAATATGATATCATTAGGCCGCGAGATAATCAATATTACAACCCCACCTAAGTAATCCCTCTAAATCGAAAACACATCTCAGAATTTCAGCCAATATTTCATGAGATCGGTCACTCACTATAAGCCGTGTCTATCTTAATTCATCATCCCTGACTTGTCAGTTAAAACCTTAATGCTGTCGATACACCACTGCAACAGACTCTAGAGCCCATTTTTAAATATTCAGAAGGCGAGTTGGCTTGCCTACGTTGTTTTCGATAAATTCTCCTCGGGCCCATACAATTATATCGGGATGGGTTAGAAGCAAAAACGTGTCAGTGATAAGAGAAATCGATTAAAGTTCGCCTTAAAATACACGCGGGTGGGGGGTGAGGAGGGAAAAGTGGTAATAACAGTCAATGCCAGGGACGGGGTGAGCGTGGAAGATAGCGGAGGGTGGCCGCGTTAGTCGACCTCCGATCACTGTAGATGCGGAGCCTGAACGTGGTTCTTCTGTGCCCACAAGATTGGTTTTCGTAACCTGATGGCGGCCGCTTCTGCTGTTCTTAACAGACGCTGGCCCAGTAGCTCAGGGTAATTCGATGGAGGGTTATAAATCACACAAAAATCTTTGCTTTGGTCCTCGAGATGTCCGGAATCAGCAACATGCGCGAGAACGGCGCTGTTTATGCTCCTAGTTTTGCCTTTTCCCAGCCATGCCGGGAGGTGTTCTCGTATTACCTTGGACAGACGCGACTCGTGCGACCAATATCACCTGCTCCACACGAGCCTGTAAAGAAATAGATGCACATTGAGGCGGTCTGAGGTGACAAACTTCGCGTAAAATGGAGTTAATAGAAAATGGCATTCGAAACCTTGCTACAGGGAAGGCTTGCAAGGCAGATTGATCGTGGTGTCTCCTTAGGAGTTAACTCGCAGATTTTTAACTGAACTGGAGTGAAAAAGGGTGGTCGATGTTAAGTTTAGTCAGCAAGAAAAAATCTGGCCAATTATACTGTTGGTTCACTTGTTTATGCGCCATTAAGTGTGAAGCTCTGAAAACTGCAGAAGATTACGTCGGCAGCGCACGACTTCATTTATTATTCAACATGCCTTTATGATGATATAAGCGGTCATGGTGAAACGAAGTGTGAGAAACAACCAATGGCGAGGACGGTATTTGAAACTCACGCGGACAACCAATTAATCAGTAGGAACTGTCAACGCTACAGATAACTCACAAAATGTACGACTCCCAGTCATCTTGAGGTTTACAATCAAGTTGTTGATTTAGAGGCCTGAGTCTGACGTCTGGCAATAAATCAGTTTCAAGATATCAAATGGTACAATTCAAGGCGTCCCTTTTTGGGGCAAAACAGTGTCCAAATCTTGGTTTTCCGGAAACGGTGTCACTCAGCAGATTATACTACTGTGCGTTGCCTACGCCACGCCCATATTTTTTCAATGCTGGACCTCTCGGTA